TCTGGATCACCCTCCTGGCCGATCCTAAATAGCTAAGTGAAATCCACGATAAGCATGATTCGCACGCGTAACGAGTTTACCGGTCTCTGTTATCCCCTCTTGATCTTGCGCTGCATTTCTCTCTACCCTTCTTCACCTGTCTCTCTATCCCCTTCTCTCTTTCTCTTTCTGTCTCTCTTAGTGTCTTTCTTTCTCTGCCTGAATGTCTTTCTTTCTGTGCATTCGTCTTCTTTCCCTGTATATCTTTCTCACTGTATGACTGCCTCTGTGTATATGTATCTCTCTCTTTATATATGTACCTGTGATTATGAAAGTGGTCTAAGTCACTCATATTTGTTTCTGAAATATTAAAAGCTTCGGCCTTTAAGTACGTCATAAATTATAAAATTAATTGCGATAAAGCTACAAACTCGATCTGACGATTCAATTCTTCATTGTTTTGTTGAAAATATATATATATTATCGTAATATAAACGAATGCAACACGAAGTAAATAATAAAATCGTTCCTCTTAAGTCGATGACTTAGACCACTTTCATAATTATAGGCACATCTATGTGTTTCTCTTTCTGCATGTCTTTATCTTGTGTTGTTCTTCTATTTTATGTTCTTTTTCTTATTTCTCTTATGTTCATTTTCTATGAGTATATATATATATTTCTTTCTTTCTGTGCCTCTCTTCGTATATCTGTCTCTCTATATGTCTCTCTTAGTATGCCTGCATATGTGTGTATCTCTCTTTCTCTTTATGTGTATCTTTTTCCCTCTTTGTGTGTACCTTTCTCTCTCTTTATGTGATTCTTTCTCTCTTCGTGTGTATCTCTCTATTTCTCTCTCTCTCTCTCTCTCTCTCTCTCTCTCTCTCTCTCTCTGTCTGTATTTATCTCCCTGTGTATCTCTCTCTTTATATATATGTCTTTTCTTTTGTTTGTATCTTTCTCTGTATTCCTATCTCTGTGTATCTCTCTCTCTCTCTCTCTCTCTCTCCTCTCCTCTCCTCTCTGTTTCTCCTTGTTTTTCTCTGTTCCTTTTGGTCTTCGTTGGTCCGTCTGCTCTCGGATTCGTTGATTCATCCCCTATTTGCCACTGCTTCTTACGGAGCAGCTCTTGGGGCCATCGCCACTGGCCTGCAAGGGGGAGGTGCTCGAGCAGGGATTCGTTTTCACCCCTGCCCTAGGGAGGCTATGACGTCAGGTTGGGTTTTCTCAGGTCGGGATGACATTTCATCCTGGCTCGATGGTGTCACGTAAGGAAATGTACACCGGAGAGAAGGTACCGGGAAATTGAGGATGGCTGCGAAGAAAGGACTCGCGAGACGAAATGGCGAATCGAATAGACTGGAACAGTGGGTTTAATCCTGACCTATCCCATTAACGTCTCGGGTTATTTTTCGCAGGACAAATGGTTAGCACAAATGCAGATTAAATCGAGCTTCCTATTTCGAAAAATTTTTATGGTTGACCTTGCAATTAGCACTAGAACTACCGATTTCTAGTGGGCACGTTTAACTATAACGTGCACAGATTATAGTAATTAACAGCGGTAAGATGATTATAAGTGAATATATCGATTACGGTTCTTCCTTAATACGAGTTGATACCAATTTTATTCTTAAAACAGCAGGTATATGTATTCGGTGATTGCAAAAAGGAAAATTCTGGGACCAGTCATTTTCACTGGGTTGGTAGTTCTAGTGTTAGTGAATCTCGTATTTAATTTTTCTAATTTAGGAAAATTCGTTGTTAAAATTTCTCGTTTCTCGAAAATTTGTACTTTCTCGTTGATTAATGTTAATCGAGTTTGAGTTATTCGCGTGTCGGTGAAGTTATTCGAGACACGTCTGTTAATTTACGTTTCGTTACGAAATCCTTGACTTACGTGTCGTTTCGGGATTTTGTTAATGGTGTAGAACGGAGTCGACTGTTTCGTAGCATGATAAAACGTATTAGGTTATATATATATGTAAATAATTATCCTTCGGTATAACGTTACGTTGAAATTCATGTTGAAATTACGATTCGGAGGACCATAATGTGCATCACGTATAAATCAGCGAGTTAATCCGAACGCATTGCGGAAATATTATATATTGTTTTATAATCAATATGTCGTAGTTAACGCGCATTGTCGTTTTTCGAAGGATTCTATCAGTATTTTGGATACTGTAATTGATAAAACAATTTCCCGGAAATTTTCATTCAAATTTTCATTTAACAATCGCGTCGACCCATTCATCTCCCTTCCATGGCGCTTTAAATGGTTTTTAAATTATAAATATCTCGGGTATATCCTCAGCCACGTTCCAAATTTCTACATTCACTAATTGAGGATCGTATTTTTAACTCGCCTCTTTTATTTCTCGAACCGTGATCAAAATTTTGGTAAAGAACAGGAAGAATTGTAATTTATCATTGATAAATCGTTGCAAACGATTATAAATTACGTACACCCGTTTATTATTTTAATTTCCACGATTTATAAATATTTGAAATCATTCAGTACGTAACAGTTGTACTATCTTTAATACAGTTCCGATTTTACGTAAAATTCCCTTTATTAATTCATACATTTTATATTATTACGTAGCAGAAATTATTATATCATTATTCAGGTTCGTGGAAAAATTATTGAACACAATAATCGCTTGTCAATTATTAATACAAAAATCCTCCAATTTTTGCCAAATAATTTTTCCAGAATTAATTCACCATGTCACATGTAGTATTGTGAATAATGAATTACAAATGCAGATAAATTAATCGTATATAGATAGACAAATTCAAATTCAAATTGAAAATCCCATTGGAGAAGAGTCCTATTATAATTTAGATTTAATTATTCCATAATAATTAAAATATTTTGTTAATCAAAAAATTTGCGTAAATTTGCAAATATCTACTTCAAAATTACTTTAAAATGCGCCAAATAATTAAAAAAGAAATTAATTCGCAATGTCACATATAGTGAATCACAAATTACAAATGTAAATAAATTAATCATATATAGATAGACAAATTCAAATTCAAATTGAAAATCGAATAGGAAAAATACTATTATAATTTATATTTAATTATTCCATAATATTTATTACAATATTAATATAATATTTATAATATTTATTACAAATTTGCAAATATCTATTTCAAAATTATCTATCCTAACGTAGTAAGGAAATCAGTCTACACGCGAGTGTGTGGTCGAGAGGCATGGTTCGTAGATAGATCCCAATGTAAACAGTACGAGGCACGCGGCTCGCGGCTCGCGGCTAGTTTTCACCGGTATCTTCCGGCCTCAGTTGCGTGTTATTCTTCGTCGCGTTCGGACGTAACGTCGCTCGGCTCGACGTGTGACCGACTCTACTGTTGATTATGGCACGTGCTATTGGAACCTAAACGGTAGGCTTTAGACTTTAACAAAATAAGTCGTCATCCCATTACCTTAACGCTAAACCTACCATGCCTAGTCAAATTATCCGGTACATCAAAAACAGATTAGAAAAATTAGAAATAAAACAGTATAGAATATCGAAAAATTAATTACACGTGTATCGAAAAACACATCACGTTGTCGGGTAACCAAAACGATGATATCAAATGCGGAATTTTAAATAGTTATTTTAAAATAGCCATTTAACGCTAGAACTACCGATCTTTAGTGGGCACGTTTAACTATAACGTGCACAGATTATAGTAATTAACAGCGGTGCGATGAATATGAGTGAATATATCGATTACAGTTCTTTCTTAATACGAGTTGATACCAATTTTATTTTTAAAGCAGGTGTATGTGTTCGGTGATTGCAAAAAGGAAAATTCTGAGCCCAGTCATTTGGACTGGGTTTTTAGCTCTAATGTTAAGCAATTTCGAAATTATATTTATCAGAAACGCACATGAACAGCTAAATGGTAAGCAAGACAAACGAATCTAGGTGCTTAAAGTGTTAACACTAAAACTACCAACCCAGTTAAAATTACTGGTCCCAGAATTTTCCTTTTTGCAATCACCGAACACATACACCTGCTTTAACCCATTCGAGACCGATTTCCGAGGCTATAAGACCGGTTGCACACCGTGTGTGCAATAATAACAATGAGCATTTATTAGTTATTACGAGTAGTTGCTCCTGTGGACCATGTTCCAAGCAAATCGCCGTATCGAATGGGTTAAGAATAAAATTGGTATCAACTCGTATTAAGAAAGAACTGTAATCAATATATTCACTCATATTCATCGTATCGCTGTTAATTACTATAATCTGTGCACGTTATAGTTAAACGTGCCCACTAAAGATCGGTAGTTCTAGTGTTAAAATTTATCAATAGAATGTAGCTTCCTAAATTTGTTGTTAGTCGAAATACACTATAGTTTGCGCGAGAAGTATACTGCCAATCACCGGTGATTGTCACGGTCCGAACGGAAAGTTCAGTGTCAGTCACCGATATCTGACATGTCTCTTAACGTGTTAAGCATCGGTACGTTTAGCGATTCCTCTCTGAAAAGATTCTACGCTATTACAATTCCTATTTAATCCACGCATGTTTATCCTACCGATCTAAAAACCCGCGTAACTTCGAACTCGAACGCAACTCGTGTCATTTGGCAATTTTCGAAAATTTCATTTTATTTTAACCCTGTGCACTCGAGAGGTTACCTTCAGTCACCGTTTCATAAAATTTGGAAGATCGATATTAATTAACATATCAAATTTAATGTAATGTAACAGTGTCCGAAGTATCGAAGTCACATAATTCTACAATTCTATTATTATACAATTCTTTATTCACTGCTCAAAAAGGTATGGTCAGAATCATTGATTTTCTACTCTTCTCTAGCCAAAAAATCGTCGAGTGCAAAGGGTTAATTCTTATTTTATATTTTATAAAAATTCGCAAATTTGAGCTCTCGGTATAGTACACGACATGTGAAAGTCAGTGATGTAACCGCGAATATGGGATGTTCTATATGCTAAACAAGCCTAATGGTGTTCTTACGTGTTGCAGCAACAGAGACCAGACATATCAAGACTGCTGCAGCAAATGCATGCTCAACAACTGCCACCGGGAACGGCGATAGGCGCCCATCCAGGGCTACCCGGACTTCCGGGACTAGGACCAGGTGCTGGACTTCCGGTGTCAACTTCCGCCTCCGCGGCTCTTATTGGTCTTGGCCTGACGCCGGGCGCCGCCACAGCGCCGGGCACGACAGCGGCCCATCCACTGTCGATGCTGAGTAAACCGGAATTGCACCGCGGCCAGCCCGACGATTTAAAGAGCAATGGCGGTGAGTATTTCCACCGTTCCTCCACTTCCGTTTCGCCGCCATCTTCCTTTCGGTGTGCACCGTGTTTCTCTTTCGATCGGGCGCGTCCGACGTCTTTTCGTTTCGTTTTCTAACCCTTTGACACTTCGATTTCGCTGTTACCGGTTTCGTTTTTGTTATTATTAACACTATGCCGTTCGCACGTCTAATCGGGATTCTTTCATTTGGCGCCATTATCATTTGCGCATGATACCAATGCGATATCACCGGCATTTGTACGATAGTTTTCGCATGACATCGATGTGGTACTACTGGACGGCATAGTGTTAATATTATTATTGTTAGTATTATCGGTGTCATTCGGTCGCGAGATAAAATTTATCCTTTTTCGTATTTTTCACGGGCCTTTAATCGCCTTCCGCGTTCGAAGATTTGTTTTTTAATTATAGGGAATTCGTAGTTCGGTAAATTATTTCGTATTATAGTTCGTGATACTTTCGTGTAATAAATTAATGTATATAGTTATATTATTTTTATGTTTTTGGGGGAAAATATTCCTAGTTTTTTTTTTTCTTTTTTAACGGGATGTTATTAGTAGTCGACGCCAATGGGGATTCGCGGGGGTCTTTTCGTTTCATTTTTAACCCTTTGACACTTCCATTTATCTGTTATCGATTCCGTTTGTTTTTTTTTATTATTATTATTATTATTGTCATCCGGTCGCGAGATAAAATTTATCTTTTTCGTATTTTTCCGCGATCGTAAATTTTTTTTTTATTATAGGGAATTCGTAGTTCGATGAATTATTTCGTATTATAGTTCGTGATACTTTCGTGTAATAAGTTAATGTGTATAGTTACATTATTTTTATGTTTTTCGGGGAAAATATTCCTAGTTCTTTTTTTTTTTCTCTTTTTTAACGGGATGTTATTAGTAGTCGACGCCAATGGGGATTCGCGGGGGTCTTTTCGTTTCGTTTTTAACCCTTTGACACTTCCATTCGTCTATTATCGGTTTCGTTTTCATTATTAATATTATTATTATTATTATCATCCGGTCGCGAGATAAAATTTATCTTTTTCGTATTTTTTCACAAGCTTTCAACCTTTCGTGATCGTAGATTTTTTTTTCATTATAAAGAATTCGTAGTTCGGTGAATCATTTCGTGGTATAGTTCGTGATACTTTCCTGCAATAGGTTAACGTGTACAGTTACATTATTTGTATTCTTTTACTTTATTTTTCGGTGGAAAATATTCCTAGTTCTTTTTTCCCGTTTTCCTTTTGCAACGGGATATTATACGAGTAACCGACGCCAATAGGGATTCGCGCGGGTCTTTTCGCATTTTTATTTCCGCAACGGGATATGTAATTTTTGAGAGAAAGAGAGAGGAACGTTCCTCGGACAAGGGTAAATATTATCAGGATTTTTCGACGTAACGAAGCCGACGGTAATAAAATAAGGAAAGAGAAATCCGCAGCGCGATGTTTGCACAAAGACTCATTCATTTCGCTAGGAAAGTCAACAGCAATGGCGATAAAGACGATGATTGTTTGACGTAACGTTAGTCGTAAATCGTGCTCTCGGATCTGAACGGAATCATTAAATAAACCGGCCGTTTCCGGCAAACAAAAACAACGCGAGTCATCGACGATAACGCGACCGAGGCTTTTGTTGAACGAAGCAGTCGAAGGGTTAATCATGGCTCGATATTTATAAAATATAGTTTACTCGCGATTTTTATGTACGTATTTTTCTTCGTCATTCTTCTAAACGCAGTCCAATGTAGGATAAAGACCGTGAAACGTCCTGTATATTTTCTGGAAGAGGGTACCGTAAATCGTTTTAGGTTAGGGATGAGGAGGAAGTAGGAAGTGGGCACGGGTGAGAGAAATAACTCGGTTTTTAATTCAGTAACGATAAAATATATTTAAAATATAAAATATTGCTCGGGACAGTTTAACCCTTTCCACTCGTATATATATATAGGCCATATAGTCGCCATCTTACATTTTATTATTATACATATATTAACCCTGTGCACTCGAGAGGCGATTTTCAGTCACCGTTTAATTAGATTCTAAAGATCGACGTTAATTAATATATCAAATTTAAAATTACCTAAAGATGTGTGGAATGTCTTAATTTGCATATGATTTCGCATTTTCCATTTTAAAAATATCGTCGACTCTATGACAGAAAATCTTCGAATTACTGTTTTTCTCGTCAAGTGCAAAGGGTTAAATTTATGTATTTTTCTAATTTTTCCTACTAAATCGACAAGTTAAATCGCAATATGTTCCCATAAAAATGTCTGCATTTTGATCGCGCATGAACAAAAATTCCTAGTTGATTGGTAGTTTTCTCAGATATAAATTCGAGTGCAAAGGGTTAAGGCTAGACTAATTCTACATTGACTCTATTCTGGCTCTAAACTTCAATTCTTGACACATTCTACACTTTACTACATTTTGTTTCTCTATACTCTTCATAGATTGCCTCGCCCGTGCCCTTGCACCCTTTTTCTAAGCCTACAGTCTCTCTTCTTCTCCTACAGGCTTTCTTTCTCGAACACTCGATATAGACATAGATGTCCAGTCTATAGGATCCTTTCGTGCTGTCATTTGTTCTTCCACGCGCACTCTAGATGTCACTTCGATCGCTCGCGTCGAACCCGAGGTCGCTGTTTATTATCATTTATTTTCGAGGAATTTTCCATTCATTCGTTTTCCTATTCGTTCGTTTTGCTTTCACTGTTAACCCCTAAAAATATCCTACAATCGTAACTGTTGTAATAAGCCATAGGCTTGCAACGATGGTGTCAGATACGTTGTCAATAGTGATTTTTGGGTCTCTGGGACCTTTTCCTATTACGGGTGTCAAGAGGTTGTTTTTTCGCTTCTAATTTTGGTTTATAAGGACCCGCCATTTTATGAAAAATGTCATTCTTCAACGCGGTACACTATGGTGGGCATTATCGTAACCTATAAGGACACGCGTATAAGTAGATTTGGTATTTTTCATTGATAACTTCATATATTTCGTGCTATAGAACTGTATAGGGATAGTTGCGTAGGGATTTTAAAAAAGGCTGCAATTACAACAGTAACGAAAAATTTGATCCGTTATTACCCCCGTCGCTACGTCCCGTACGCGAGACATCAGTGTCAAACGCGTGGAAATCTCGCCTATCCTCGAATTAGCACCGGTCAATTTCCGCGCTTCCTCTCGCGACGTATTACCGCCCCCCTCCACTCGCCGCGTCGCCAATCGGAAAAAAGCAAACCACAGAAGACCGCGCCACGCACCCCTCTGCTCTTCCCTTTCACGATCGAATTCCTCGCTGTGGCCTGCTCCACGAGAATCGTAAAACCCCTGGAATACTCGTTATACGCATACCTTCCGCCCTTTCACACGATTTTAATTGCCACCTCTGTGGGCAGCGCGGCGGGAAAAGAAATTAACGAAATTCCGGCCTTTGGTCACGTTCGAGTGGTGGCCGCGTCCCGATATAACGAATCGTGCCTGCACGCGAGCCACGTGCGCGCGCAGCGTTCCCCCACCGCTCGCCCGGTTCCACGCTGGCAAACGCTCCAGACCACCGGGGATTTTTCTCTTTTTGTCACCATCATCCGTTTGATCCCGCTTTTGCGATACCCCGGAAAAAAGAGAGAGCGCCGGTCGACCGCCCAGTCTGTGTGTACCTACGTGCATATATACGCCGCTCTGCACACGTATATTTGCCCGTGTATATACGTATATGCACGCGTGTGTACGATCCATCGAAAGGGGCCGCGGAACACTCTAGACCGCGGGACAGTCGACGGCGGGGACGGGTGGCGAGAAAAAAGGGGAAAAGAGAGAAAAAAGGAATATGTAGCCGACGTGGCGCGAGCGTGCGGCTCGGCTCGCTCGACTGGAAATTTTCAAAGCGCTTTTCGGGTATCCGCTTTCGGCGGGGGTGAGCGTGTTTGCGTCACCCTGTTAGCGGACACCGGCGGTTTTGAGCGAAAAGCGCATAAATATGCATGAAGATCATTTATACGGGCGCCGCTCGCGCTTCCACTATCCACGCTGTGCCACCGCACACACGCAAACGCGCGCGCGTGCACCGTTCTCGTTCCGGCTCACACCCCTTGCTGTCTCTCTTTTATGGGCACGTTATTAACATTTTATCGACGCGCGGTGGCCGGGATTCTTTTCCCCTTTTTTTTTTTTTTTTTTTTTTTTTTTTTATTTTTTTTCACCTGTCCCTCTTTTTGCCAGCACCCCTCACCGTTCACCCGGTTTCATCGTAGTGCAGCGAAGCCCGACGTCATGCATGAAAATGATTTTTCTTTTTTTCTTTGATTTTTTTCCCCTTTCTCGTTTTTTGGTTATATATTCCCACCACCGAGTGGAAACGTTCCGCACGGCTTTTGACTGACGACTGTTTGCATTTGTCTCGTTACAGGTCTCAGCTCGACCGAGGAGAGACACGTGAGTAGAAAATATTTCGTTCTATTTTTTCTCTACCGCTCTTTTCCGTTTTTACGTTTCGCCCTGCTCTTTGTTTCTCTGTTTGTCCCCCTCTTTCTCGTTCACTTTCGAGTATCGTATCCGAACCGCATGATTCCGCGACGCACTGATTGCAAGGAAAAACTCCGCGTGCTCGATTGCGTAGAATCGACGCAATTTCGATACTTCCGGCTAACTATTCGTTTCGCTAAATCGCATAACATCCTACGAGATATAAACTTTGTATTCGTTTCCCGATAAATACGTAATTCCTGCGATTTGCGTTTCAATCGACAAATAAATCTGGAATTCTTTAGAATCGTTTTTCCTTGTACCCTAAGCATCTACATCTACGTGACGTCACTGTTCATCTGCTCACGTGACGAGTAGACGCGGGCTCGGAGTGGGGGCACGTTCATCGTCGTAGGCCGTCGCGCGGGGGTGGGGGATCGGATCCCCAATCCAGGCCTGAGTCTACGCGTCACGTGATCAGAAGTGGAGTGACGTCACGATGTAGACTCGATATCCCGTCGGTGTTCACTCGTCGCGAGACGAATCCCCGTAACAGGACGAGAATTCGTCGTTAACGGGATCTCTCGTTGTTCCGCGAACCACTTTCGTTCCCCGTTTTCTTCCTCGCTTTTTTCCCCTCGCCTGTTGTCACGCCGTATTTAAGCTTTCCTGCGTTGCTTTTAACGAGTAATTTACGGGAGGTTTGACGCGCGTACAGCGGCGCAGAAATCACGCGCGATAACGCCGTCGTTTCGAACGAAATTATTAATGGACGTCGAAGTGGGGCGGCGACGTGGCGGCTCTTTGTTGGGATTTTCGAGCGTCAGAGATACACGACGGGGGCCGGGGGGTGAGGGTTCGCAGCCGAACGGAAGCGGAAGGGCGCGAGGCGCGGTTTATTTTTCACGTGTCGTAATTAAGGTTTACTACGCAAATGAAATTATGTCAGCGTCGCTGTTTTATCGCGGATGAAACAATAATATGCGACGAGATTTACGGGCCCATATTTTCCACCCGCCCTCCCCACTCCTCCCCGCCAGGCTGGTAAATATTTCTCCGCTGAAACGCAGACAAATCATTTATCGAAATGTCGAGTTAACAATCGGATTATCCGTCGGGACTTCTACGTACGATCTATCGGCATAAATAAATAAATATGCGAACGGATGGGCATTTTTTACCGCTTATCCGTTCCCGCGCGCTGTTTCCGTCTGAAATTTCGAAAGGATTTAATGACGTAGATAAATAAATCCAATTGAAACGAATTGAACCGAACGAACGGCAAAAATCGTATCTGTATTTTCGCCGATTAAAATTGCTTCAACATCCGCGCGTCTCTGCTGCCGGATTTATGGCGCGCAATGGCGGCCGTGCATTGGCGGCGGAACAAGGAGTCCCACGGTCCTTCCGTCACCGGAAAACGCGACAGATTCGTGGAACTTTTCGAACCGGGGCCCGAAAAACGGATCGTCCTCGCGCTTAATGGCACTTTGGCGACCCGGCGTTCTTTTATTTGCCTTTCGCCTGTTAACAGACTCGCGTTAATAATCGCTAGTGTATGTTTTTTGCGTTTACAGAGAACTGTTGACTCACGGTGGGTAATCGAATGTGTGGATACGTGTGGCGAGCCACCGATACGTCTGCGCTCGCCAATTTTTTCGTATTATACGATTTTCGTGTTTTGTCATAGGAGTTAGGGTTAGGCTAGGTTAATTTCGTTCAAAATTATTTCGTCTAAAATAATTTTCGGCGAGAATTCATAGCGTTTGAAGAAAAATAAATTTGGAAGTTAAATTATAGTAGATAATGCTCGGATTTCTACGCGTGAAAAATTTAGAATTCTTCCTTTCTCATTCCAACGACAATCATAAATTCGAACTCGACGGAAATAATTTCCCGATTTTTCCTGTGTAGATAATAACGGTTAAAGTGCTGCGATTTCATCGCGCTTTTATCTAGATAAGAGTGAACGTTTTACCAAAAGTGACCATACGTTACTGGTAACATTAAAAATCTGCATCTAAAATCGTACAAATTCTTTTACCAAATCCAGTATCGATTTTATTTCGCCGAGGATAAGATAATAATCGATAAATTAGAATTTTTTGGTGGTATTTAATTATACTTATTTATTACAAGTAATGGCTGTTAGAATTTTTTCGTTTCGTTGCTATTGGAGCAACAATTGCTCCCCACTTTCACATTCCCTTTTATCTCGATAAACGTGGTTCGATTAAATTTTCCTTGACAATTGTATCTCTCGAGGTGGTGAGTTAGGTTTGATAATGAAAGATAGCAGAAAACGATAAGAAAATTCAGTCATCGTTAATGATTCATTGTTTGGAAAAAATTTACCTACCACGTAGTTCCTCTCGCAATCGACCTGTGCAACCTTCCCGTTCGTGACGCGTTCGATCAGGCTGTTATACGTAATTTACATCTAATTACCGAACATTTGCACAAATGGGTCAGACATGTTGGATAACTGTGAAAGTTTTCTTTTACAATCGTTTCGTTTAACGACACCTTAAGGTGCTTATTTCGCTTCTCTTTATCGCGGCTATTATGTTCACAGTGTTCCTAGTGTTTCGACGTATTTCAACGGCGCAATGGCGTCACGTGATTTTCGAAAAACGACCCACGAATAGAACGCGATTTTCTAACGATCGAAATATCGAAATATTAAGGTTTGGGGATAAAAATTGCGAGATTCGAGTTAGGTTAGTACGTTTGCGCTACAAATTACAATTGCCAACTCTATTCCCAACACACGATCCAAAAGGGAAGAACAGTCACATCGACATACCTTCATCTAACCTCAAAATTTGTTTCACTGTTCACAATTATTTCTAACACAGGATATCTGTCGGTATTTAAAAGAAAGATGGGGAAAGAAATAACGAAAAGCGATTACCCCTCTAACCAGGGATGACGAATTAACTCGTCATAGCGAAACGCCTCTACAGCACGCAAGAGTGGTAAACTCGTCACGGAATTTTGAACCTAGCACGCACAAACCTAAACCCGATACCACGCCCGTTCCTTTATTATCGTCGTAAGATCTCATGCTCACAACTATCATGCTATACCAAGAAAAACCAATTAAGCTTTTCCTAGGGCCCATTTTGAATAAAAATTTCGCCACTCGCTTTAGATGGGGTCAGCGAGCAAAATATTAAAAATGGCGTGAGGGTCCTAGATCTGTAACAGCTCGGCCATAGTAACGCGTTTATTCAGCCCATTGGTTGTTTTCGTCGAACGCATATATGTAGGGATATGTTCTGATTGGCAATATACGGAATAAAAGGATGTTGTTTAATTCCAATATATATTTCATTTACGAGCTAAGGGACCTAAAAGTAAAGTTACAAGTTAAATGATTAAACTAAATACGCTATGCACACTCGCACTCTTCGAACTATCACCGACTGGACTCTCTTTCAAACTTCTCGTATACTCTGACCAACAGGACTGTCCCCGGACAGCCCTTGCACCCTCATTTAAACCTTGCACACTGTCTTCTTTCATACTCAAGCTTTCTTCCTCGATCACGCATTTCCCATAGCCTCGCTCTCGAGGTGGGCCACGTACCCTAATCATTCAGGCGCCTTTCGCTCTTCACTTGCATTCCATACAGTCATAAATATCCCGTTCATCCGATTCTTGCACGCGGTCATTCGTCCTTCCACGCGCACTTCAGACATCCTCTAAACATTCAATCCTAACCCTAGATTACTGTCTATTGCCCGTCGCCAGTTAGACTGACCCAAGGGTTCCTTCGCACTGACTCTCAAGCTACTATTCCTACATATACTCGTTCCTCGGCCAAACTGATGGCTTCCACAAAACGCATATACGTGGCTCTTGTCCGCAAAGGGTTAAATCCCTTGCATTATCCTGTTCCCGCGAGACGCGCGCGTGGCGCCACCCTCCGCCATCTTGGTATCGCGACTTCGCGACGAAATGGTGCGTGCTTCGGAACCCATACCCGACGTGTCACTGTGGAAACGAATTAATCATAATTAGGGATTATTGTGTCATCAGCTAGATAGGCCTAAGGGTTCCTTCGCACTGACTCTCAATCTACTATTCCAACATACATATATGTAACATGTATTAGTAACGTATATATTAATTTCAATAGCGAATTCGAAATATAGCTAGTACAGACGTTAGGCGCAGCAGAAAATGGTGGCGGAGTGCGGTCAGTCGCGCCATCGCGAAAAGTGGCGAAGTATGGTACTAGTTCGCCGTCACGAAACGGTTAACTCTTTGCACTCGAGAGGCGATTCTCAGTCGCCATTTAATCAGATTCTAACGATCATTATTAATTAATATCTCGAATTTAAAATTGCTTAACGATACGTAGAATATCACCGATTTTATGGCAGAAAGTCTTCGAATTACTATATTTCTCTAACGAAAACATCGCTGAGTGCAAAGGGTTAATCCTTATCCATGGAATTTTTATTTGAATACAAATATCGGCCTAAATTTAATATCAACTATTCTACAGCGCCAATACGAAATAAAATGGCGACTAAACACCCACCAGGACCTTTCCATTTTTAAATTTTTAAAATTGAAAATTTCGCATTCAATTTTTCTTCCGATATATTTTATACCTTCCTTTACCGGTTATTTGACCCTTCACGGTAGGTCTAGCGGTAACACCGATAGGTCGACGGTTTATACTGTAAAACAGGCGAGTCGGTGAAAAAAATAAACACCGGAGGTGCGCGCTGAAGAGAAATTTGCCCGGGTGGTGCCGGGAACCCGGAAACGCAAGGGAGCGGAACGCGGGATACGGAAGGCAAAGAGCAGCGCGAGTAGGCTCTTTTCTTAGTAACCGCGGTTAGGTATTTTTCGAGCCGGCCTCTTTTTCCGGCCGCCACTTTATACCACTCGGCGCGTTCGTCGAAAACATAATTGCGCGTACAGTGGGTGCTCGTGAGCGAAGTACGCCGAACCACTCGTTGTACCCTTCACGCGCACGGAAAGTTACACGCGTGTAATGTAGCTGTAATACACGCGCAGTAGGCTGGAGAGGGGCGCGGAGGGGCTGCGGGACGGGGTCACGTCGCGAGTACTCGTACGTCGAGTACGTTGTACGTGCGTTAAGCTTCGTACACGCTGCGTTGCGACGCGTATACGCGTCGCGTGTTCGCGATGCTGGGACGCAGATACGGAACTCGGGTGTTAGGAATAGCTGCGAGCAGAGAAAAGAGAGTCCCAGGGAGTGAGAGTGAAGGAAATTTCGCGAGATTGGGGAAGGTTAGCGCGATGAGAGTTAGGGTGTTGTTGGCACGACTGTTCTTCCTTTTTGGGTCGTGTGTTGGGAGTAGCTGCGAGAGATAGGGGACGTTTTGCGAGGTTGGATGAGAATGAGGGAGGTTGATGCAATAGATCTATCTCTGGTTTTTGGGCCTTGGTTTTGGGTATTAAGAATAGCTGAGAAAATTTAGGAGTCAGGGTGAAGACAATTTTGTGATGAAAGGGTGGGGGTAGGCTGTTGCGATAGGTCTATGGGGGGCCCAACCCCCCATGGAGTTTTTATTTAGGAGTCAGGGTGAAGACAATTTTGTGATGAAAGGGTGGGGGTAGGCTGTTGCGATAGGTCTGTGGGGGGCCCAACCCCCCATGGAGTTTTTGTTTTGATTATTAAGTCTTCGTTGTTTGGGTGGGTCTTTGGTATTTTGAATTGCTGAGAAGAAGGGAAATTTAGGAGTCAGAGTGAAGACAATTTTGTGATGAAAGGGTGGGGGTAGGCTGTTGCGATAGGTCTATGGGGGTCCCAACCCCCCATGGAGTTTTTGTTTTGATTATTAAGTCTTCGTTGTTTGGGTGGGTCTTTGGTATTTTGAATTGCTGAGAAGAAGGGAAATTTAGGAGTCAGAGTGATGACAATTTTGTGATGAAAGGGTGGGGGTAGGTTGTTGCGAGAGGTCTATGGGGGTCCCACCCCCCATGGGGTTCCAATTGTTTTGATTATTAAGTCTTCGTTGTTTGGGTGGGTCTTTGGTATTTTGAATTGCTGAGAAGAATGGAAATTTAGGGGTCAGAGTGAAGACAATTTTGTGATGAAAGGGTGGGGGTAGGTTGTTGCGAGAGGTCTGTGGGGGTCCCACCCCCCATGGGGTTCCACTTTTGATTATTAAAGTCATCGTTGTTTCAGTGGGTCTTGTCTCTTATGGTTCCTACTGATGGGTATTGAGATTAGCCGAGAAGAATGAAAATTTAGGAGTTAGAGCGAAGACAATTTTGTGACGAGAAGATGAGGTTATGTCGATGTGATTGCTCTTCTGTAAAAATTGGCAATTGTCAGTTTCTCTTGTGTTCTGATACATTAATAATCAAATACACATAGACACGAATTAGTCTCTCAACTAAGACTTAGAAAAATATCGTGCGTTATAAAAATATTAACAGCCACAAAAATACAATACCAATTCCCACAAAATTACGTCATTAACTTACACAGAATCACGATAACATTACCAACCTGAGCAAAAATTCCACAATTTCCCCAAAGTAACAATAACAACCCCAATCAAATCTCGCAGAAATTTTCCCGAAACTTGAAACTGTCCCAAAAAACAAAAACCCGTCGCGTTCAGGGATAAGGCCCAGCCACTGGAAACTTAGCAAGACCCAGAAAAGGAATCTGTCCCGAGAACCCGAGACAATGTATTTTACAACGCGCGGCATTAAACGTACGAAAGTAATCCCCCAGGAATACTAGTCCCGATCGTATCGACCTTAACAGGCGAGGTCCGTCGGGCCCACGATGCACCCTGCAACGAGGCCGCGGAAACTTGGCTCGCACGTAGCCGTAGGGAAGGCAGGAAGGCAGGGTCCTCGCCCGTAGAAAATGCAAGTAACGACCTTCTTCTTGCGAACGGTCCCGAACCAGACCCAGCCGACACCCGCGCGGCGGGGTCCGTGGAGCGGATGGAGAGGGTGCCGGGCGAAGAACGGCGGCGGGAGGGGGAAGGAGAGTCGGGCCGAGTGAAAAGGGAGAAAAAAGGGAGAAAAATAATGGAAAGAGCAGAGCAGCCATAAAGAAGGGAGGGGAAGGGGGAGATAGCAGCGTGTATTATAGGTTCGCCGAGCCTGTAATCATCGCGGGACCGCGAAACGCCCATCGACGCCCTCTCATTCTGCCTCTCGCCATTCTATTTTCCTCTCTCCTTATTCGACCCATCCTCGGGCAGTTTTCTCTGCTCCCTCGTCCTTCGTCCACGCTCCACAGCCTGGGTCTGTCTGTCTTGCTCTCTCCTGGGCCGTGCCGACTCTATAATCATTATCAACCTCTTCCCAAAGCGTCTTCTTTCATTTTTCTTCCCTTTTATTTTTATTTTTCGACTCTCTTTTTCTTCGGCCTTTTATCCTTCCCTTTCTCGACCTCCTTCTACTCGGTATCGGGGTTCCGTTTGCTTCCCTCTGCTTCTTTTTCGCTCTTCCAGGCCGCAGCTATTCCTGCGGTAGTGCTTTCACCGAAAAGGTGCATCGTTGCCTCGGCCAGGTTTGCTTTCGGTTTTCTTCCACTTTGTTACGACGTGGGCGGAGGTTAGGGTGTGAGGTGGGTGTACGATTTTGTCGCAGGGTGAAGCAAGCTGGAACTGTGTTTCGTGAAATACGGTTGGTATCGACGGTTGCAGACAGGATTTGACGATGTTCGAGCCGGTTTACAAATGTTGATGAATTTAATGAAAATAATAAAACTGACACGTGTGTTAAGAGTGACTGCGGAAACAGGAGCGATTAGAACAAAAACGACAACGTGCACAGTAGACCCGCAAAACCTAAATGGCTCCCAAATTAAATTTATTATAGTATCTCATTATTAGTACCTCACGACTAGTTCGGTCCTAACATAGAAATATTATAAATATATTACATTTTATAATCGATGTCAGTTTCAAAACCATATTTAGAAAAATGTTCCGTTCACGCGTCGGACTCGTGATATTCATCTTTGACCCAATATCTTCATCACGAGCCGCACTCGTGATATTCATGTTTGACCGAAAATCTTCATCACGCGTCCGACTCGTGATATTCATGTTCGACCCAATATCTTCGACACGTGTCAGACTCGTGATATTCATGTTCGACCCAATATCTTCGTCACGTGTCAGACTCGTCAAAATACGAGAAGGGGTTAACGTGTTAGCTATCAAAAAACTTGAAAGATATTGGTGTCCATTTCTATCCACGACGATCCCCAGGGCCATTCGTGGTTTCGGCTAAAAATTGATGTATTATCACGCGATATGTCATTACATCGTCAGTCCATAATAATAGTTATCACGGTGTGTGCCATTTTTGGTCAAAAGCGAATACCGAAAGAATCCCCGAAAAAGATTTTGCCCCCCCCCCCGGCGAAATCGCGGGAACGGCGCGGAAGTCGCGACGGGGACCGATGATTAAATCATATCGCGCGCATGAAAATCACGGAAAACCCGTGTGCCGCGATTCCGTCTGACGGATATAGAGATTTTATTCGGCGTAACGCGATCCGACCCCCGAAATCTACGCATGGAAACTCCGCCGGTGGGCGGCTGTCACGGATGGAAAGTCGAAATCGATTATCGCGAACGGTCGCGTGACAATTGATAATAACCGTCGACGCGGGTAATTACGGTTTTGTCACGTTGATCGAACCGCAGGAAACACGTGGATAATCCGTTGTTCCAGTCTATGCCGGTTGTCTGTTATTTAACCAGGGATTAACGGCTGCGTAAACGTATACTTCTGCCCGGCTAGAAAATCCCCGTCCCTCCTGTCTCCGCTGGTTAAGTAGCTGCGTCCCTGCGAACAAATCGATCCTGTAATCGGAATAAATCGAGAACCTGTTGGGGAATGATCGCATCTCGTGACGAAAATTTTTATTTTGCACTTGGTCTTTTTTAATTTTCTTTTATTTTATTTATTTTGTTTATTTTGTTTTTTAGCGTTGTTTTTTGGAGGCAGTTTATGCAGGTAGTTAGACACGTAGATAGGATCGGAAGTGGAGTATATCGGATCTAGCGCGTTGCTTGCAGATGAGCATATGCGAGAACCATAATTTTCGTCGTGTTACAGAGGAGCTCGATATCGCCCGGTGATAAATACAGTCGTCCACGAACACCGCAGGAGACGCATCATTCCCATCATTCTCAGAATCACCATGACCATCCCATGCACATCAAGAAGATGAAGAAGGAGCAGGATAAGGACATCGGTCATGTAAGTGTTTGCATTTTGTTATGGTTTTCGAAAGTTTCGCGATTCTTCGTGACATCGTGTTTTAAATTTTCCGTTTGATTTCGAGGAGAATTGGATTTTCAAGGGAAATTTGGGAGCCGTGATAATGTATAGGAGTAGCGTCTATTATTAAATCGGTGCAGAGATTTTGCGAATTTTCGTGAGTGTTAAATCGGTGCAGAAATTTCGTGATTATTTTTTTCCTTTTTCCTTTTTGGCATTTCGCTTTGAGGAGAATAGGATATCGAAGGGAAATTATAGGGTTCTGTTAATACGTTGGATAGACGACCAATTTGGCGAAATTTTCGCGACTATTATATCGGTGCAGAGATTTTGCGAATTTTCGCGAATTTGAAATCGTTGCAGAGATTTTGTGAATTTTCGCGAATGTTAAATCGGTAAAAAGATTTTGCGAATCATCGCTAGTATTATTAAATCGATGCAGAGATTTTGCAAATTTTCGCGAATTTGAAATCGTTGCAGAGATTTTGTGAATTTTCGCGAATGTTAAATCGGTGCAAAAATTTTGCGAATCATCGCTAGTATTATTAAATCGATGCAGAGATTTTGCGAATTTTCGTGAGTGCTAAATCGGTACAGAGATTTTGCGAATTTTCGCGAATTTGAAATCGTTGCAGAGATTTTGTGAATTTTCGCGAATGTTAAATCGGTGCAAAAATTTTGCGAATCATCGCTAGTATTATTAAATCGATGCGGAGATTTTGCGAATTTTCGTGAGTGCTAAATCGGTACAGAGATTTTGCGAATTTTCGCGAGTTTGAAATCGTTGCAGAGATTTTGTGAATTTTTGCGAATGTTAAATCGGTAAAAAGATTTTGCGAATCATCGCTAGTATTATTAAATCGGTGCAGAGATTTTGCGAATTTTCGTGAGTGTTAAATCGGTGCAGAAATTTCGCGATTATTTTTTTCCTTTTTCCTCTTTGGCATTTGATTTTGAGGAGAATATGATATCGAAAGGAAATTATAGGGTTATGTTAATACGTAGGATAGAAGACTAAATATTTGGCTAAATTTTCGCGAATATTAAATCGATGCAGAAATTTCGCAATTATTTTTTTCTTTCTTTTTTGTATTTGATTTTAAAAAGACTAGAATTTCGAAGGGAAATTTAGGAAGTCGTGACAATACGTAGGAGTAACATCTAAATATTTGGCAAAATTTTCGCGATTGTTAAATCGGTGCAGAATATTCGGGTGCAGAAATTTCGCGATTATTTTTTCTCTTTTTCTTTTTGGTATTTGATTCCGAGAAAAATAGGGTATCGAAGGGAAATTATAGGGTGTTGACAATGCGTAGGATATACGACTAAATATTTTGCGAAATGTACGCAAATATTAAATCGATAGAAAAATTTCGCAATTATTTTTTTTTGCTTTCTCTCTTTTGTATTTGATTTCGAGAAAAATAGGATTTCGAGGAGAAATTTAGGGAATCGTGACAATACGTAGAAGACGCGACCCTCCAATAATTAAACGTACTATAACTCAAAAATTCGCGATAAATAAAAATTCCAAATCTACGGTAATTTTTCCAAATTTCGTATCCGCCATTACGATTCGTCGAACATGCACTCTGGATTCGTCCTATCCAAACGATCTCTTAGTCTAGGAATCGATCGGTAACTCGGACAACAAGAGTGTCCGATAATTAAACACACTCTAATTAAAAAATTCGCAATAAATTAACCAAATTTGCAATAGGCACTACCCATTCGAAATCTACGATAATTTTTCCAAATTTCGTATCCGCCATTACGATTCGTCAAACGTCAAATAATTAAATACACCATAATTAAAAAATTCGCAATAAACATAAAAATTTGCAATAGACACTACTCATTCGAAATCTACGATAATTTTTCCAAATTTCGTATCCGCCATTACGATTCGTCAAACGTCCAATAATTAAACACACCATAATTAAAAAATTCGCAATAAACGTAAAAATTTGCAATAGACACTACCCATTCGAAATCTACGATAATTTTTCCAAATTTCGTATCCGCCATTACGATTCGTCGAACATGCACTCTGGATTCGTCCTATCCAAACGATCTCTTAGTCTAGGAATCGATGGGTGACAGACAATATCGGCATCAGGTTTAATCCCGATGCTAATAGGACACGAAGGAAACGTTGAACCGTGATTGAGACTTCAAACAAGATAAGACTCGCCAATATGTAACTTAGATACAAAGCGTGTGTGCGGGCTGAGACACGCCACAGAGCGAACAGCAAACCTCGCCTCGTCGTCAAGATGGCGAAGAACCCGCGCGTTTCGTCGACTTCCTAACAGACGTCGATAATTCAGACGTCAGAAATTATACTTAAACGACTTCCAGAAACTTGCAAATCACGTTTCGAGAACTTCCCAAGAGTACGTCACCGGTTTAACACTAGGTTTGCGCACCTTTCTGTATACTTATCTTCACGGACACGCGTCAATTCGACGTGCAAACGAAATCAGAAATTATTCTAGGATATTAATTTACAAATAAAACTGCGAGATATATACAGGGTGTTCTATGTAACATTCGTCACGATTTTTCAATCTACTTACGATAATTTGACGAAGATCGTGGTATTTTAGATCGAGCTGTAATACTGTTAACTCAATAATACAAAGTGCTATTTAAAACAAAATTTTTTTTTTCGAAAAGGGGACCAGGTTTTTGAAAATTTTTCAATGCATTGTAGAGCTAACTAAAAGTCGATCAACTTTTGTTGAAAACATTTTTCTGTCAGATTATCGCAAGTATTTGAAAAATCGTGACGAATATTACATAGAACACCCTGTATTTGTATAAAATTTAGGGTATTTATGGGGATTATTTTTATTTGGAATGTATAAACAATTTCTGCAATATTTCTTGTGAACACCTTCGAAACGTCACCACCAGAGTGACGATTTAAATTTTGAAATTGTCGGTAATAATCAGTATCGGCAATATCGGTATCAACAATATCGGTATCGTTGCTATATCAGTATCGGCATTTCGATAATAACCGATTTCGGTATTGTATTATTTTTCGTATAATTTTATTGGCATAATACCGGTATTTATTTCGGTATTTCGTATAATACAAGTATCGGTGCAATACCGATATCAGTATTACATCGTTTTTCGTATAGCCTTATCGGTGTAATACCGGTATTTCCCTTGGTATTTGACATAAGACAGGTATCGGTGCAATACTACTAACGCTATTCTGCATAACACAGATATTGGTGCAATACAGGGATCGGTATTTCGTATAATACAGATATCGATGAATACTAGTATCGTTGCAATACAGGGGTCGGTATTTTGTATAACACAGATATCGGTGGAATACTGGTATCGTTGCAATACCGGTATCGTTGCAATACAGGGATCGGTATTCTGTATAACACAGATATCGGTGGAATACTGGTATCGTTGCAGTACCGGTATCGTTTCAATACCGGTATCGTTGCAATACAGGGATCGGTATTCTGTATAACACAGATATCATTGCAATACCGGTATCGTTGCAATACAGGGATCGGTATTCTGTATAACACAGATATCGGTGGAATACTGGTATCGTTGCAATACCGGTATCGTTGCAATACAGGGATCGGTATTTCCTCTAATACAGGTATAGTTGCAATACAATAACCGGTACTTCGACAACAACCGATTTCGTATTGTGGGGGTATATGTTGGGGTATTCCATACAGCTTTATCGGTTTCATACCGATATTTCCCTTGGTATTTCGCAAAACACAGGTATCGGTGCAATACCGATATCGTCGCAAAATAAATATCGGTATTTCGACATCTGACATAGCACTGCCTGTACAAAATCGGTACGAAAGTGTATGAGGGACTTAAGTCCCTGATACAAGGCACCGAATCCCGACCCATCTCCGGATCGTGACAAATTCGAAACTAACCTATCTCGTACCCCGTCTGTCCAGAGTGACGGCGAGAAGAGCGACCAGGACCTGGTGGTGGACGATGCCAGCGAGGGACCAACGAGCCCGGTAGTAAACGGCACGACGTCGCCGCGGGAGAACGGGCTGGACAAGGTGGCGCCGATCGGCGCCGGCGTGCAGACGAAGAAAGACGTACCGCCGCATTCGCCGCGAAGCGGGACCAGCAGCAACGCCAGCACGCCGTCCGCGAAAAAGATGGAGGAGCGGGAGAAGCCCACGACCCCGATCTCAAAGCCGCTCACGCCGACCTCGGGGTCCGCGATCGGCGGCGGCCTCAAGCCCTCGGGATCGGCCAAGCTGCTCCAGGGACCGCCGCCTCCCGGTGTGCCCAGCGCTTATCCGCCCCACTACGCGCCCGGCCCACCGCCGCACCATCTGGCACCAGCTGGCCAGCATCCTCACGTAGACATGATGGGTTATAACGGCTACGTGGCGCCCAGAGCACCACCTTCGCTGCAGCAGCTATACGATCCCCACGTGGCCATGAGGGCCCCCATGGGATCCGTTGGAGTTCCCGGAGGCAAACCGTAAGTACCTACTCACGTACAATGCAAATTTCTAGGGAAATTTCATTCCGATATATGGCAGGTTGCGAATAATTCTTTTGTAGAGGAAGGCTGTCGCGAGTAATTTTTCGGGGGCGTGGAGGGTGGGCGGTGCGAATAATTTTATTTTGAAATAGGGGATCGCGAATAATTTCTTTCGGAAAAAATAGATAGCGAATAATTTTTTTTTTTTTTTTTTAAGAAAAAGGACGGAGAATAATTTTCTTCGGGAAATAGGGTTCGCGAATAATTTTATTTCGCAAATGGGAGATCGCGAATAATTCTTTTCGGAAAAAGGAGGTCGCGATTAATTTTTCTTTTTTTTAAGAAAAGGGATGGAGAATAATTTTCTTCGGAAAATAGGGTTCGCGAATAATTTCCTTCGAAAAATAGGGTTCGCGAATAATTTCCTTTGGAAAGTAGGGTTCGCGAATAATTTCCTTCGAAAAGTAGGGTTCGCGAATAATTTTATTTCGCAAATGAGAGATCGCGAATAATTCTTTTCGGAAAAAGGAGGTCGCGAATAATTTTTTTTTAAGTAAAAGGGTAGAGAATAATTTCCTGTGGAAAATCGGGTTCGCGAATAATTTCCTTTGGAAAGTAGGGTTCGCGAATAATTTTATTTCGCAAATGAGAGATCGCGAATAATTCTTTTCGGAAAAAGGAGGTCGCGAATAATTTTTTTTTAAGTAAAAGGGTAGAGAATAATTTCCTGTGGAAAATCGGGTTCGCGAATAATTTCCTTTGGAAAGTAGGGTTCGCGAATAATTTTATTTCGCAAATGAGAGATCGCGAATAATTCTTTTCGGAAAAAGGAGGTCGCGAATAATTTTTTTTTAAGTAAAAGGGTAGAGAATAATTTCCTGTGGAAAATCGGGTTCGCGAATAATTTCCTTTGGAAAGTAGGGTTCGCGAATAATTTTATTTCGCAAATGAGAGATCGCGAATAATTCTTTTCGGAAAAAGGAGGTCGCGAATAATTTTTTTTTAAGTAAAAGGGTAGAGAATAATTTCCTGTGGAAAATCGGGTTCGCGAATAATTTCCTTTGGAAAGTAGGGTTCGCGAATAATTTTATTTCGCAAATGAGAGATCGCGAATAATTCTTTTCGGAAAAAGGAGGTCGCGAATAATTTTTTTTTAAGTAAAAGGGTAGAGAATAATTTCCTGTGGAAAATCGGGTTCGCGAATAATTTCCTTTGGAAAGTAGGGTTCGCGAATAATTTTATTTCGCAAATGAGAGATCGCGAATAATTCTTTTCGGAAAAAGGAGGTCGCGAATAATTTTTTTTTAAGTAAAAGGGTAGAGAATAATTTCCTGTGGAAAATCGGGTTCGCGAATAATTTCCTTTGGAAAGTAGGGTTCGCGAATAATTTTATTTCGCAAATGAGAGATCGCGAATAATTCTTTTCGGAAAAAGGAGGTCGCGAATAATTTTTTTTTAAGTAAAAGGGTAGAGAATAATTTCCTGTGGAAAATCGGGTTCGCGAATAATTTCCTTTGGAAAGTAGGGTTCGCGAATAATTTTATTTCGCAAATGAGAGATCGCGAATAATTCTTTTCGGAAAAAGGAGGTCGCGAATAATTTTTTTTTAAGTAAAAGGGTAGAGAATAATTTCCTGTGGAAAATCGGGTTCGCGAATAATTTCCTTTGGAAAGTAGGGTTCGCGAATAATTTTATTTCGCAAATGAGAGATCGCGAATAATTCTTTTCGGAAAAAGGAGGTCGCGAATAATTTTTTTTTAAGTAAAAGGGTAGAGAATAATTTCCTGTGGAAAATCGGGTTCGCGAATAATTTCCTTTGGAAAGTAGGGTTCGCGAATAATTTTATTTCGCAAATGAGAGATCGCGAATAATTCTTTTCGGAAAAAGGAGGTCGCGAATAATTTTTTTTTAAGTAAAAGGGTAGAGAATAATTTCCTGTGGAAAATCGGGTTCGCGAATAATTTCCTTTGGAAAGTAGGGTTCGCGAATAATTTTATTTCGCAAATGAGAGATCGCGAATAATTCTTTTCGGAAAAAGGAGGTCGCGAATAATTTTTTTTTAAGTAAAAGGGTAGAGAATAATTTCCTGTGGAAAATCGGGTTCGCGAATAATTTCCTTTGGAAAGTAGGGTTCGCGAATAATTTTATTTCGCAAATGAGAGATCGCGAATAATTCTTTTCGGAAAAAGGAGGTCGCGAATAATTTTTTTTTAAGTAAAAGGGTAGAGAATAATTTCCTGTGGAAAATCGGGTTCGCGAATAATTTCCTTTGGAAAGTAGGGTTCGCGAATAATTTTATTTCGCAAATGAGAGATCGCGAATAATTCTTTTCGGAAAAAGGAGGTCGCGAATAATTTTTTTTTAAGTAAAAGGGTAGAGAATAATTTCCTGTGGAAAATCGGGTTCGCGAATAATTTCCTTTGGAAAGTAGGGTTCGCGAATAATTTTATTTCGCAAATGAGAGATCGCGAATAATTCTTTTCGGAAAAAGGAGGTCGCGAATAATTTTTTTTTAAGTAAAAGGGTAGAGAATAATTTCCTGTGGAAAATCGGGTTCGCGAATAATTTCCTTTGGAAAGTAGGGTTCGCGAATAATTTTATTTCGCAAATGAGAGATCGCGAATAATTCTTTTCGGAAAAAGGAGGTCGCGAATAATTTTTTTTTAAGTAAAAGGGTAGAGAATAATTTCCTGTGGAAAATCGGGTTCGCGAATAATTTCCTTTGGAAAGTAGGGTTCGCGAATAATTTTATTTCGCAAATGAGAGATCGCGAATAATTCTTTTCGGAAAAAGGAGGTCGCGAATAATTTTTTTTTAAGTAAAAGGGTAGAGAATAATTTCCTGTGGAAAATCGGGTTCGCGAATAATTTCCTTCGAAAAGTAGGGTTCGCGAATAATTTTATTTCGCAAATGAGAGATCGCGAATAATTCTTTTCGGAAAAAGGAGGTCGCGAATAATTTTTTTTTAAGTAAAAGGGTAGAGAATAATTTCCTGTGGAAAATCGGGTTCGCGAATAATTTCCTTCGGAAAATAGGGTTCGCGAATAATTTCCTTCGGAAAATAGGGTTCGCGAATATTTTCCTTCGGAAAATAGGGTTCGCGAATAATTTCCTTCGGAAAATAGGGTTCGCGAATAATTTCCTTCGAAAACTAGGGTTCGCGAATAATTTCCTTCGGAAAATATGGTTCGCGAATAATTTTATTTCGCAAATGGGAGATTGCGAATAATTCTTTTCGGAAAAAGGAGGTCGCGAATAATTTATTTCATAAAAAAAGGGATGGAGAATAATTTCCTTTGCAAAATAGGATTCGTGAATAATTTTATTTCGGGGATAGAGGATCGCGAATAATTAATTTCGAAAATAGCGGATCACGAATAATTTCTTTCGGCAAAAGGCCGTCGCGAATAATTTTTTCCGAGAATGGGAGACTGCGAACAATTTTCTTTGGAAGAAAGTAGCATGCAAAAACTTATTCCGAAACTAAAAATCGCAATAATTTTCCTTCGGTATAACAAAATCGCAATAATTTTCCTTCGGTATGACGAAATCTCAATAATTTTCCTTCGATATAACAAAATCGCAATAATTTTCCTTCAGTGTAACAAAATCGCAATAATTTTCCTTCGGAACAACAAAATCGCAATAATTTTCCTTCGGTATGACGAAATCTCAATAATTTTCCTTCGATATAACAAAATCGCAATAATTTTCCTTCAGTGTAACAAAATCGCAATAATTTTCCATCGGAACAACAAAATCGCAATAATTTTTCTTCGGAACAATAAAATCGCAATAACTCTTCCGCGGAATAAATCGCAAAAATTTCCTTTTCATAAAAACGAGGAAATGGCAAAAATTTTTCGCCAGAATGGGGATCTCGAATAAACCCGCAATCGTCACGCAAGGTGTGTAAACATAGGCCAAACCAAACTTGTTCTCATGAAATCCTCTCTATCGAAACGATAAGAAAAGCCAGAAAACTTTTGTCGGGTTTACCTTGTTAACACTGCGAGATGCTATCCGATAAATCCGAAGCCTAACGAGTTTTCGGAAACTGCTGGAATCTAGAGTGGATGAAGGCTGAAAGTGACACGGAGCTTGTTTGCTTTCGCACAGATTACCAACGACGGTCTCGCGATAAGAATAATCGATTACACGTTCTTAAGTGTTTAATCGGGGATATTAGGGGAAGATATTTGGCACGATCACCGGTTGTAACGATAACGATCGCACGGTGTGATACATTGTTCGAAATCGTGCGCGGGACATGGAAGTTTCCAAGGCTCTCACTGTGGGATTTTTCGCCCCGACGGATGCCTGTTCCTTCTTATTAAGCTCCCAAGTTGTTATCAATGGGAATACGTGTCGCGTTAATTAAGATCTTGATCGATAGGGGCGCTGATGCAAGGAATTATGAGAAGATAGGATGTAATCGTTGTGTAATGGCGTCTCTGTCGAGATGGTCACTCGTGTCTTATTTCATTCCGACGTAATAAATTTTTACGAATATCTCTCCCGGTGAGTTGCGAAAAATTTAGGAATTATATAAGGAAAGATAGTTGTTCAGGAAATAATATAGCAACGTGGTCGAGATAGGAATCGAACACTCGTGTCATAGAATTCGGTCGTGTTTCGAAATCGTGTGATATTTACGAATTTTAGAAAATCGAGGAAGAAAATATAGGAAATTAGAATATTCACGAATGTAGAAAGTAATAACGAAGAATATTTCTACGGGGTGTCCATTTTATCCGCACTCGGTGAAACATTTTAAAAACAGTGAAAAAT